GGCCGCCACCCGGGCAAAATTCAAAATTTCCTACCAACTGAAAAAGTTTAATGGGTCCCGCGCGCTCATATGACCTTATGCAGTAAAACACTTACAAAAACAAAAACTGTATATACATTAATGTGTCCTGTTACATTAGATATAAGTGCCGCTACTTTAGAATTACAAAGTTCAAACTGCTCAGTATCTAGTTTTGAGAAATTTGACGTAAAAAATGTTGACTTTCACTTTCACATCATGTCAAGCTTTCTCAATGCAATTCTTTTCATATCTTGATAACGGCAAAGTCGTATTACAAAATAACACTAGATCTAGGCAGAAGCTAGCTTGTAGCAACGTTAACATATAAGACTATTCATTATAGTCTACATGCGAAAGTAGGTAAGTGCGTGTTAGGTTGTGTATGAATGGGTTTTTTTCATGGGTGGGGGGGGGGTTGTCTATTGGTATCAAATGATGGTAAAAAGACACAGTCAATTATCCTAGAAACAGTTGTACGTAAAGTACGTCCCACCCTATCCCGAAGGTACCCTAATGTTAACTCAAGAGAAATCACTTCACTTCATTAATATATCGCTGACAAGCTGTTCAAATTATGATATCCAAAGCCCACAAAGCCGCATTTTAAGAAGAGAGAAAAAATGTTTCATGCTTTAAAAAAAATTGTACATAAACTATGTGTTACCTTTTCTGAATTTTTCAACATTTAGATTTTGAATTTCAATAAACTTTTCCATAGCACCAACAATAGATACCACAGATTTCAAACAGAAACCTGCAATAAAAAAAAATGTTTAAATCAATTTTTGGGCTAAATACATTTGAACAACAGGTCCACGATACGTCATATTTTAAATTCATAACATATAGCTTTCAGGTCAAAACATCATATTAGTTACATAAAGATGATATGAATCCCCCCCCCCCCGCATTCCAGGTTGTGAGTGGACAAACAATTCCACTTCACCACTACGATGTTCATGGGCATGTTTGTCGCCTTGCTTTGGGCCAGCTGTGTGGCAAGTAAGTCTATGCAATGAGTTATGTTGTGCTGCCGAACGCCGGAAACTAAATTGCTACACATCATTTTTGTTGGTTTTTTCCACGTTATATTTCAATTTTAAATTTAAAAAAAGGAATAAAAAAGAAAACGTCTCAACTAGCATACACTTGGGGATAAAATGATTCATTGACCTACTACATTGTAATTTGTTTATTCGTTCGCTTTTTCAGTTTTTCACTCCTTTATTTAAAATTTGTTCTTAAGATAAGATAAGATCAACTTTATTGATCCACGAAGAAAATCTTCACCCATTCATAGGGCAATTCTTCTATGTCATATTATATAATATCACTATATAAATACCAGGCCTCGCAATACCATACCTTACCAAACCATACCATACCATACCATACCATACCATACCATACCACACCACAGGGCTAAATCATACCATACCGTACTGTATGACTCTTTTCATCTAATCTGTGCTTTCCGTCAATATTATATTCTAAGATGGTCTCAAGGTTGTCTTCATACAGCCTCTTTCATGGATAATTCATCTTATGTTTGAAGCGTAGATTCTGTCGCCAGTGCTTGCATGTCAGTGATGTGGATCGAAGCTCTGTATTTCCGCTGTTTTCCTTTCGTCGTTGGCGCTTCTCAGCACGGCTGTTTTTGAGGCTGCACTCTCGCACAATAGTTCTTTGTTTGATCATTCTCCTTCATATTTTCCTGTCTTCACTATTTCTTCCAAGATGCTGACATCTACTCCAAACTTAGATAAGCTGTTTTTGAAGGTGTCTTTGTACCTCAATTTTGGCCTTATTCTTGGTCTCTTTCCCTGGGCTTGTTTTCCATAGAGAAGTTGCTTTGGAATCTGGTTGTCCATTCTCTTGTCATGACCCAGCCATCCCAATCTTCTTAAACACAGGATAGTTTTCATGCTCTGGAGGTTAGCCCGGGCTAACACTTCAGCATTTGCGACGTGCCACACCCCACCACACCGCATCTCACCACACCCCGCCACACCGCATCTCACCGCATCTCACCACATCACACCACACCAAACCACACCACACCACACACCGTTTTTCATGTTACCCCCAGGTTGTCTGGCCCTGCCTACTGACCAACCCACCACAATGACCATGACCAGAAATTCTAGCCGCCAGAAACATGTCTCGGCCACAACCCTACTCCACCCTACCTCAACCCTCCCCAGTCCAACCCCAACCCTCACCCACCCTACCTCAACCCTCCAAAGTCCTACCCCAACCCTCACCCACCTTACCTCAACCCTCCCCAGTCCTACCCCAACCCTCACCCACCTTACTTCAACCCTCCCCAGTCCTACCTCAGCCCTCCCCCACCCTACCACTCCACCACGCCTCCACCACGCAAACCACTCCCACTACCAAACCCACAGCCCCTCACAGAGCTACACCCACAGTCTACCTGCTGGTTTCACTTACTTATATGTGAACATCAATCGCAGCATCTCGAACACTCTGGAAGACTCGCACAGACAATTTCAGGTCGCCGGATCCCCCCACACATCCGCGAGTGCGCTCAGGGCAGCAGCAGAAGTAGTTCTCGCCATGACACGTCACATGCACTATCGCGACTTCCGGCTCTTGTCCGAGAGAACTTCTGTCGGTGTCTTCACCAAACAAGAGAAATTAACCATCTACCCAAGCTACTACGCCGTCAAGAACAATAACTGTGGACGTTCGTGCGAGGGCGAGTGCCGGGTCACGTGCGCCAGCGACAACCGAAAGTACGAAGACCTTGTCGGTTTAGGCGGGAAAAGAGCTGTGGTCCTGGATGCAAACGTTCTGTGCACTGATGCAGATCCCTACAAACATAAAGAGAACATTCTTGCGCACGAATTTACGCACTCTATACACATCTACGTGCTGGATGCCGACAAGAAGCACAGAATCATCAATGCGTACCAATCTGCTAAGGACAACCAGACGTGGCTGGCGACTTCCTACGCCATGTCAAACGCACTTGAGTATTTCGCGGAGGCGTCTACCGTATTTTTCGGGGTAAACCGGTATAGTGCGCTCAACGCAGGCGGTATGAACGTCTGTCGGATGCACTACTGTGCCACAGAGAGAGAGGCGAGAGAGAATTTGAAGGACAAAGATAGGGCGCTCTACGATATCCTCGTGGACGTCTTCACCGGCGGACGGCCAAACCTGCTCTCTGGATTGACCATCTGTCCCACCACGTGACTTGAAAGGACTGACCATATTATGTCAGGCCAAGTGACTTGAAAAGAAAACTTCCCAACAGACCCAACACAAAGTCGGAAAGATGTTCGAATCGGCTGCTTAGTGTAAAACTCCGACAAGGGCCAATTTGAAAAGAGACGTATGACGGAGTCTTACAATAGGGAATTGAAATATTCTAGGCCCTGACAGCAAACTTTTTCGAAATAGGGGAAAAAACAACAACTGTATCTACTTGATGCATTTGTCCTTGTCCTTTTCAACACAATTTAGAATTTGAATTTTGACAAAATTTACCCTGGGCACATGCGACCGATACCCCAGTTTAAGAAACTACCATTTATTATTTGTCTCAACTTTTGGGCTTATTTCATCAGAACAGCTGGCCGACGATACGATTTTCAGCCTGGTGAATCATAGCATATTTTATTGGAGGGCCACAAAGACATGGAAAGAGACACACAAAGAGGCTGGCGCATGAAATCGGAGCTCTTTTCAAGTTTGGCCGCCTCAATTTCTTTTCCCAGCTTCAGCAACGTTTGTTCCGTAGAAATAATTACTGCTGAAGTTGTAAATTTATTACAATGTGATATCTATCGCTCAAATTATAAACTTAGTAGCCTACTCATTTGGTGTTTGATCCTAATAAAATTGTTTCTGAAATACAGAATACAAAAATTCAATAAAAATGCTTTATACCTTTTTTCCTTCATTAATACATCGTGCATCGATGGTTCTATTCTTTTTATGAAATCCCTTAAATATTAAAACAAACAGAACCCCCCCCCCCCCAAAAAAAAAAAAAAAAAAAAAAACAACAAAAAAAAGCAAACAACAAACAAACCAAAAAAACCGCAGCAGTTTTTGAGGAAAGTCCTGTTATTTTGTTGGAAAAAAGTATAGATTATGTTCTTCTCTGGGCCAATACAAACTGCTCAAAAAGTAAGGAACCCACATTTTTCGCAAAAAGGCATGATCAAGCACACGCTAAAAAGTCTCTCTTCCTCCGTGCTCCCAAGCCCCAAACTCTAATATTACATAAAAAAACAATATGTGGTATCGATGACTCAGTGATTATAATAGGTCCTCGGGCTTGCAACCGTAAGATTGTGAGTTCGAATCCCATCGAGGAGCCGACGTTATATTCTTAAGTTTTCAGGAAATGCACTTTACATGGATTTTCTTCACTTAACCCCAGTGGTAATGGGTACCCGGCTATGGACAGTGAGGGATCTTACCAATTTGTTAGTGTTTGAACGCGTGCAATTCGCAGCTTGCGCTTTATATACTTTCGGGAAAAATGAGAATCTTTCTGAGTGTCCTTGGGTCTGCTGGGGTAATGATAGATATAAAGCCCATAGAGCATGCTGTAGAGCTTGGAAATGAGATATACGTGCAGAGAATATAGGTCTTTATTTTTTTAAAAACCTCCATCAACTGCGGGCTTTGAACCTGCCTGTCACTGCTAGCTCCGGCTGACATGGATACAATGTCCCAGCAGAAAAGTTGAGACACCGGATAAACAATCTCACAACACAGGATTCGAATCCAAGTCTTCTGTGTTTGACGACCAATCCTCGAACAGCCCCAACACAGACGCTGGTTTCCAGTCTCCAGTAGATTTCTGGGGTAATTGATAGTAAGTTTGCTCTCAGACCCACAGTTGATTGGATGTGTTTACCCGTACGATCCATTTACAAGGAACAACGCAGAATCGCTGAGGATTTTTCAACTCAATAGTGATGTCAGTATTGTCGTACGGGTGAATTTGTTGTTATTGTTGTTTTGGTTGTTGTTTTTTTGGGTACTTGCAACACAATACGCATCGAAGGTTAAAGCTGTTACAAAAAAGAAACAAACACAAAAAAGAAAGCGTGATAAGGACAAAAGATGTTCTACAGGAAAGAAAAAGGAAACCACACAGGAACACATGCCAACCATCGGCGTGTACGGGTGTGAGGCACGAACGCATCACAGACTTGGATAAAGAAGATCCAGGTTTACTTTAAAAAGTGTCTGGAAAAATGGTGTGTGAAAAAAACCCAGGATCAGAAGTACAGACAGGATCACCAACGTGTTACAGAAAACAGGACAGAGCCCAATCGGAGATAAAATGGGAAGACAGCAGCGGCGATGGATTTGACACGCCCACAGGGAGTTAAGCAGCTGCACAACAAAGAAACAGTTGGATTGGAATCCACAGGATAAAAGATCAAGAGGAAGGCCAATGGAACTGAAAGAAGAGTCTCGGGCCTGGGTGTCTAAACTATCGATATTTTTGCACTAAAAGATAATTTTTCTGGAGCGTTTCTTGTGCCAAATCTGCGTACCGTAAGCTCATTTTAAAAAATGGACTTCCATCGACATAGAAAGGTGTATAGTATACTGGTATCGTATCTCTGAGTATAATAGATGGAAATATGTCCCCCTTGGAAGCGAAACTATCGCAACGTGAGATACGATATACTATGCAATTCATAAAGGAAGTTTCTAAACTATCGTAACTCGACTTACGATAGTTCTGTTACCAAAACATCAGTGTCGTAATATCGTAACTAAGGTACCGTCCAATCTAAAACAGACACAATTTCAAAACATCTATTACAAAAACCTGGTGTGTTTTACAACCAGTAATATGGAAAGATCACACCCCAAAATCATCTGTGCGAAGAGAAAATCAGTTTTTTGCTTCTCCTGAAAAGTAGGTGTTTTTTTTTTAGATACGATAGTATTGGACCCTTAGCCTTGCCCTAGAGAATGACTTTAAGAAGAAAGTGAAAAGATACGGAAAGTCAAGAGCCCAGCCTAAGATAAGGAAATGTGGCAAGTGTTTGTCGGAGGCCTGAGGCCAGGTTGTCTGTGGGAAAAGTAATGGTGATGATGAATTATTAATGTGTCGCAAGGCGGTGGAATCAGGAGCTCACCAATGTTAGGGCAAGTGGAGTTATTAGTATTAAGTATCACCTTAAAGCTTAAATTGTTCGTTTGTTTTGCTTCCGATGAAAAATGGACCCACCTATTTGGAATACAAGTCAAGATATTTGCAATTGGAGTAGATGGGGGTGGAATGTTTTCAGAGGTAACATGAGCGAGAAAATAGCTGCTAAAATTTTGGGAATTCCACAGCTTTCTTCGATTTTCTTTTTTTGACGAGCGCTTGAATTCACTACGATGCCTCGTGTATACCAATGCTGTAAAACTCAACCACAAATTACCTCTGCTTATATTGCATATAACTTGAAAAAAATAATTCTGACTGCATGGCCCACAGAGCATCAGTTCAATGTAGGTACCCATGTTACGTCCGTCTCCGACAGGACCAATCTAAGTAAGTGGAAAGCCCTGAAAACTCCACTGACAATGCATGTCTAAGAACTGCCCGTAGGAGATTTGAACTAAGATCAGTCGAACCAGAGAAAAATATTATGAAGATGCCAACTGAAATCACAGCAAACACACTCGGTGTCTATGGTCAACTGAACCATCAAAGTTCTCCATGGTCGACTGAAATATCAACGTTTATTTCGGTACACTGAAACATCAAAGTTCTTTTTATTCGCCTAAGAGATTAAAGCGTTCTTTAGTTTAGTTTCAGTAAGCGTTTTACGGCACTTGTAACACAACTAGGTCATCATAATATAAGAGCTGAAGATTAGAAGTGTTACAAGAGAGTAGCAAACACAAAACAGAAAAAAAGAGAGAGATCGACGATAGACGTACGTTTGATAGAAAAGAAGGAGAAAACCACACAAGAGCACCGGCTAGCCAACCACAAAGCGCTCTATAGTTCCCTAAATCATTATGCCCTCTAAGGTCAAAAGAAACACTAGCAAGCTTACAGCACGGACTACTGTTATCACCAAAACCCTATACAGACCGAGATACGCAAAGGTCACCTCGGGGATCACATCAGCTGGCACACTGAATGTTCAAGTCTTATCAGCGGAAGAACCACAAGGATGTAGTGCGAGGATTTTTTTTTACGTACGTCAACGCTTCCTTACATTCTTTCGCCGTCCAAAATGTTAACACACTAGAACCCATTTGTCGCAGTTTTCTTGAGTCCCGCCATGTTGCAGAAGTGCTTGATTTTGTTGGTATTGGTAGTTGGTAAGTACGACAGTATATTTTTTGTTGTTGTTATCAATCCAGATATATAATATATAAGATACATATTTATTTATATGTATTTATATATAATATAATTATATATATAAATAAAATACATATATAATTATATACTTTATATATTATATATATTATCAATCAGGTGACAAAAATACCTTTACCGACGGAGACACTCAACAAAACGGTTAAAATATAGAAACACAACATTTGACAGACGTACTTGGTCACCATCCGGATTTATTGTGACAAATTTACAAACAAAAATTCTAACTTTAAAGGAAGTTAAAGCACGTTCTCCATGTGGCGTCTGTTTCGGGCGATACACGCTCTGAGGCGCTTGGCCAAATTGTCTGTCATTTTCCAATTGCTGAGCTTTTGGTATACTTGGATCTTGTACAGTTTAAACTCCAGATCGTACAGCAACATGCGCCGAACAGATTCTCGAGCAAGAGTTAATTCAATACTATGACGACAATCTGACTATTTAGGTTCTTCACTCACAGACTCCATGACCACTGCCACATTCTAAGGTGTGCGCACTTGCATCGGTCTCCCACTGTGAGTGACCCTAGATTTTGACCTCTTGTTTTTATTTTCAACAGAGCCATGTGGCGTGAAGTTAGCCACCCACTTAACTCGGTCTTAGGGGTTAATTCCAAACCGTTTACAAAAGAGATTCCGTGTCTGCATAGGGGACTTTGTATCGACACATTATGTTTCAACCATAATATATACGTTGTTCAACAGTGAACTGTATCTTAGGAGTAGCCATGGCTGCTTCCAACGTACTATTGTTATTGTTACGTGTTTCTCCTACAGGAAGGTTCAGCTTGCTTCCTATCAATTTTTGTGTGAATTGTGCTCTTTGAGAAAGAGAGAAAGAGAAAGAGAAAGAGAGAGAGAGAGAGAGAGAGAGAGAGAGAGAGAGAGAGAGAGAGAGAGAGAGAGAGAGAGAGAGAGAGAGAGAGGGAGGGAGGGAGGGGGGATGGGGATGGGTGGGAACAGAGTAATAAATTAGGGTTAAAAAAGAGAAAAAAAGCATAGGATAAACGTATGGAAAATATTCCGAAAAGAGAGCAAAATCCTCATTGTATCTCGAAACATCTTTTTCAACATCCAAATATCATTTTCAACACAATTATGTCGACCAGGAACGACACCCTCGCCGCCACGGGGAAACCATCCACAAAAGTCTGATGTACAGACGTCATCAGGCCAGGAGGATGTGACGTCACAACAGGAAGCGGGAGACAGACAGAGACTTCGCCGCTCAGGCATGCCACCGATTCCAAGCACATTTAGGCATATCTATGTACACGAAAACGGCGCTCTTACCACCTCCCAAGGAAACCTTAACCTCACAGTAAGTTCTGTAGACTTCTTTGGGCCTAAGGATCTCATAGAAACGACAACAAAAATCCCATTACGTTTAAGCAATTGCTTAAGACGCAGGTGTTTAAGTCTTAGTTTCAGTGAGGTTTTTTATTTATTGATTTATCACTTAAATAATTAATTAATTAACTTCATTCATTTATCCATTTATTTATTTATTCAA